GAAAAGTGCTTCGGCATCAGGTATTTCCATCGCAGGAAAGGCCTTCCTTTGTATCAGACTCGTAAATATTCCGCAGAGTATTTCTCTTGAACACTCCAATAGCTGCGACATGAGATGTTTTCTTTGTCAATGCTTCTTCGCCGTAAAGTATAATGGGTCTCCGCACACTGGACTGCTCAGTCCGTCTAAAACCGGTTTTGTGTGGATATGAGGGGGAAGAGAGTTCGAGTTTACCTCTCTCATTTCAGTCCGCGAAAATCGCGGATTGACGGTGGACTGACACGCACACATAGACAACATGTTTTCTATTTCGTTTTGTTTGCATGTGTCACATGCACTAACCCAATCATGCGTAGCTCATGTATATAAAACTGAACCCTGTTTTCGTCCGACTGCTCAGTCCAGTGTGCGTTCGAGTGGTGGACTGCTCAGTCCGACCGAGCAGGCTAGTGTGCTCAGGCCCAATTTGTGTGCGGCCGGTGTTGTCATTTTGGTGCTAGATTTAGCTCTTCTTATTTTAAATTGCCCCAGAAATTTGCTATTAGCCCCTAGCTCTTTTGTTTACCTTTTAAATTTGAAACAGCCCCTTAAGGATCCAAAAACCTTAACTGAATTTTTAACATTAAATTTTAACATTTTTGCTGTTTGTATGAAAAACACATTTTCACTTTTTCTGGAGTTTTTTTGGCAATAACTGCAAAAGACATAGAAAACAGGTTTTTCCCTATATCTCGAAAACGCTTCTTTGAGAAAGTAAATTAAACATTTTTTCACGTTTCATGTCCCTAATTAGTCTAAAAAAAAACACTTCTTAGCGAATTCATTTTTCGTGTAAACCAGTGTAATTAATGAACCCGTAATGTGTAAAATAAATAAAAAAATATTCAATCAATGAATAATGAAACTGGTTATTTACTTAGCTCTATCCTTTTTATTTTGCCCTTTCCAGCCCTTTTTCTGGAGATTCTTGCCCTAAATGGATATGTATTTCTGGCAACACTGTTAAAACACTTGTAAATTTTTTTATCTAAGTGGTTCAGTTCTGCGGCTCTTATTGTCCTTTCCAACATCAGCTTACAGAAATCACACGAAAGGGCGTCTCCCTGTCTGAAACCGAGTTCGGACATTGCGGAGTTAGCTCAATTTTCGACGAAAGTATGGTGTTAAGTGATACTCTTCTCGCAGATCTTTACTAAGACTAGAGTTTCTAGCTGAAAGTAATTTATTTTACGCATTAATACAGTTGTGCTACTTGATATTATCTACACTTAGAAAAGAGCTTAGTCACATAAATTATTTAAAAAAAATTAATCATAGTTACCAAATCTTGTGCTGAGACAAATATATGTATATGTACACATATGCATATATACACTTGTGGTAGTTTTGACTATGTTTCTTTTGATTATTTAATGTTTATATTTTTTTACAAAACTAACCAGCGCCCCATAAATCCACATATAACGCTACCTAAAGGTGAAAAGGTGCCAAGTCCACTTTTCTTCAAAATTTAGTTCTAGACGCAGAATGACAAATGCGGAACTACATCCATTTTTTGACTCTCCTAAATAATTACTAAAAACGGACTTGGCACTTCTAAGTACTTAGGTAGAATTTTTGCATCATTAAAATTGATATTGAAATTCGCTCGATTCTTTACAAGAAAAAATCACTCATTTTGTATTTCAGATTGATACCGGAGTAATAGCTGCCATAGATTTAGGTGATCCAATCCAATGGCGTTCCCTAGTTTCCATCAATAATCTTCAAGGTGGTTTCTACCCTCTACCCTCCGAGCCACTATATCCATGGGATAAATGGGAGGAAACATTCGCACGTTCGTTGAAAAATATGCACGCAGAAGCCGATTATAAAGCAGATGATTCACGAAAATTTGCCTATACAGTTTTGGAAGTATTAATGGAACGACAACATGGCAATGGACGCAAATGTTTGCTGCGCTCCATATGTAAGAACGCTCAAGTGGATGAACATGTGGGCATGTTTTCCGAGATATTAAATATTGTTTTAAGGTAAGCAGTGAAAAGGATGATACTTTGTAAAAATCCTTGTTTAATTTCTTAATTTTTTTAACTTTACTTTTTAGTCCGGGAAAAAATGACATCGACGTTCTCTACATGGAAGCATTTCGAGCTGGTAAATCAGGTGCTGATTGCGTACGCTTATACTCCGAGTGCCGAGTGGTTTCCAATTTTTTAGATCAATATTTGGATTATATATAATACAATCAAAACAATTAAGGTAGCTAAATAAACGTATACAAGCACCATCATTCATGTGTGTACTGGTGTTCACAAGAAATAACAGTTAGATTCTAAGGCACATTTCTAGAGAATTGCTTTTAACTTGGTGGTTGCATAAGTCTACATCAAAAGCTTTACTTCGTCAGTACTCACAGAATGGTGAAAAAACGCATTCTATTGATGAAAATTTTTTCATCTTTGAGGAATCGTTCGACAAACGGACCCATGAAATGTATTACCTGTCAAATCGATTTACATACTTCAAAATTCGTCCTAAAAGAAGAATACTCATCGCTCAACTTTTGTGCAGGTTTAGTATAAAATCACTGGACTCTGTTTCTGCTGAAGAGGAAAAGAAAATGGCGAATCGACCAAAGTTAGTAGGGTAAGCCAACAGGTACTGGTAGAAACCAACTTTAAGGGCAATTCTGATACCCTCGATGATTTCACTCTAACAGGCAGTCAGCCGTATTTCAAAGACCTAACAACCGCACCTAGATTGAAGTGAGTCTTGGGATCATTCGACACATCAAGTCATCAGTGCCAATAAATACCTTCCAGTGTTCTTCAAAGACTTTTTAAAATTTAATGACGTGTCAAAATGGAAAGAGTTTTGTGTATACTAAGCGCAGGTGAGGATACCTACTTGCACACCAAAGGCTACCAACCCATATATCTGTATCCGTTTAGTTAGACGTTTGAATGGAAAGCATCTTCTTCATCAAAGCGACTTTGGCCATCATTGCTGTTTTTGTGGTTTTTACGTGGCGGATCCCAAAAGCAGCGCACAACCCTTTGCAAAGTAGCAGTCTCTTATATTTCTAAATTATATCTTCGCTAAAATGCCGAATGGGATCTTAATTGCACAAATGGAGCATTTTCATAAATTATTGTGTAGAAATAAAAGATGCTGATGCTTTGCATTAATGTATTTCTGAACAGGGCGTTATTGGCTACAGTGGTGTCCGTTATGCTGGATCTAAAATTTCTAGAATTGTCGGTAAGTGATGACAACGATGCACTCAGTGATTTCAAGGAAAGCAAATAAAGAAACACCCAGAATCACATTAAAAAAAGTCGCTCGACAGAGAGTAACTTTGTCTGAAACCTCAACTGGTATCAAAGTCTCTCCTACTTCGGACGAAGCTGGTCGAATTGCTCTACGTCGGTTTTTACGTTGCCGCATTAGTTTAGCGTGGATAGAAAATTCAGATATCACAGCATGTAGACGCGGCTATCAAAGGGCCTTTCCTTAGAGTTAACGTGTGGTGGTACCAGACCTAATTAGTTCGTTGACGTTGGGCTTTAGCCTTTCACAATATATGGCTCCTCCGTTAATTGGCGCATTTCTATTACATTGGGCGAATGTGTGAACCTTATTAATTGAACGCCGCCGTACTTAAATAGCTCAGCTCATCGGACATCAGTTCCAGCAGCTTTTTTGTTTTTTAGATTTATATTCGCTTCTCGCGGTAGCCGGGCAGCAGTGATCGGACTTGAAAACAAATTTATGTGGTAGAATCTGGAAAAAAATGTGGTAGATTTAAAAAAAATGTGGTACATATCAGATTTTGGATCAAACTTTGCACAAAAATTAAAAAAATTCTGCAAGTTTTCACCATAATTGCGAACATTTTTATTAGAATCTAAAAAAAAAATTATTTTAGTATAATAAAGTGCAAGATTGAAGTAGCTAAAAATTGCGTTGAGTTTTGGCAGTTTTTTCCTTGGCAGTGTAAAGCAGTAGTGCCTTCCATATCAAGATATTTTTCGAACATATTTTGAAAGATTTCTGCAACTTTGTGCGATGTAGAGAACAAATGTGGCACGTTCCAAAAACCGCTACTTGGGATTTGCCGATTTTGACAATTCTCAAGTAAAAGTAAACAACGCTTTAGAAACTTTAGAAAAATTTTATATTGAGAACATTTACTATTTTACGGTTTATTTTATTCTCCCATTCTGCCTGTTTTTAGTGTCTCATAAAATCTTGAGTATACTTTGAGCCTTTCTAATAGCATGACTTTGCCGACTAAATATATGCTTTTACATAAAAGCCATAATTGCATATGTATGCGTTCCGAGTTTCTGATGAGATATTTCGATTCCTGCTAGATTTTTCTTCATTGCTTAAATATCCATCCGAGATATATAAGCATTCTTAAATCGATTTCTTTTATTATTCTTAACAACTTGTCTAATCTAAAGACATTAGTACACCGCTGACACAGCTCAAATTAGCGAGCAGTAGTGGGTTAATTTATATAAATTTCAATATGTATGCAACTAATAAGATCGCTAAGTAGAGGAAAATTCTATGGTAATATTCCAACAAAAAAGTCAATACGATACTTGTGGTCCGCTAACAGATTAAATCAATATTTTCTCAATTGCAAGCATTTTCGACAGTGGTATCGTAAGTATTTAGGTGACTTTTTCCATCATTCATATGGATCAATGCTATCAAAACTATAGACAGATATGTAAGTATCTACATAAGTATGTACATATGTGTTTAGTTAGACTGTGACTACATTAAAGTTTTGTTTGATGGCTCAATTCGTTTTGATGCGCCAGTTGTGATTAAATGTCTGAGTGGTTCGCATATACTTAGTTTTAATTTAATTCTTGCTCAAGAAGTTCGTTATATATACGCGTGTAACTAAAATGAAGTTAATGAAAGTTTTAATTTAATTCTTGCTCAATAAGTTCGTTATATATACGCGTGTAACTAAAATGAAGTTAATGAAAGTTCTATTGGCTTGTATAATACTTTGCTCATATGGGGTATATGCCAACACTCACAGTTTTAGTGCAGGAGCAAACTTAACCGATTTTAGGCATATGCGTAAAAAAAGGAGCTTGATATTCAATGGCAGTGGGCAAATCAAGGTGATTTTTGTTTTTGTGTGCTTTGTAAAGAGTGTAATAGAGTTATTTATGTCCAAATGCTGCTTTAATGAAGGTAACACTGATTTCGCAGTATGCAAGAAGGTGTCAAAAGATTAAAAAAATGCCATGCAGAAACAGATTTATTGGCTATCTTTATAAACGCAACGACATTGGTCCTATGCAGGAGATACGGAAACCAATCCATGTGGAACCTTGGACCACGGCAGAAAGAGAGGGAGCTTCGGTGAGATCACTCCGACTTAATGTGCTTAAGGGCTCCTTGAAGTCGGCAGTGTCTGTTCACCACGAGATGCGGCTGCAAAGGGGCTCGTTCTTGGAGCACGCGGCTCGCTATACGTTGCACTCGTACAATTATCTAGGTTCTGGTTGTGCGCTAGGTTTGGTACCTGCCTTTTAGAACATATTTCCAATGAAAGGAAAAATTAAGATTAGGATGTGACTACCTTCGTTTAATGACGAAAGGTTCGGTTTCGAAGGCACAAACATAGAATATCCAGAGCCTTAATGAGAAATGTGTCTATGCTCGGATGGTTGAAGTCCTCGGGAAATTTAAGGCTGACATCACCGCTATCAAAGAAATTCATTGTTCAGGGCAAGGCAAGAAATATGTTCGGCCTTGCGTTGTCTAATACAGTTGTCATGTAAATGAGTGCGAATTCGGTGTTGAATTTGTGGTGAGAGAGAGAATCCGCTGCCGAGTACCGTCGTTCACACTTGTGGACGGGTACCTAATCATCTCCCTAACAAAGCGAGATTCTTCAACATCTCGCTCAACTGCTCCCACGCCCCTACGGAAACTCCGAAGATTGAAGCGTCCGATAACAGACTGAAGCCACTCGACGCTCACATTTGCTCTCAAAGTGTACTCTTCAACAAATACACATATGCGAACAGTGTAACCATATTTATCGCTTATTACCTTACCGCTTCGAAGAATTTCTGTGAGCCTGAAAGGGGAACAATTTTTTCGATGAGCAATGTCACGTCGCTTGCGAAGGGAGAATATCGCAGACGATGGAACGATGAGCTGTATGAGCTTTACAACGACATAGCGTATAAAACTACAGTGGTTCCGCTAGCTTGGTCATGTCAATACGAATTTAAGTATTCAACGCGGAACCCGCTGGTAGTAAAGGAGGAAGAATGAGGCCGTCTTTGCAATGGAAAGACCAGTTGGAGAAGGAATTTTTCATGTCCAAATGGTGTAAGTTTGTACACAACACCTTTAAACATCTATGAATGCAGAAAGCGGCATATCTAAGAGCGCTCTGAGGCTTAAAATGCCCAACGAGCAGCGAACATTTGACAAAACCTAAGATTCCAGAATTTTTGAGCATAAGATCATGGAAACTCAGAAATCCACTATTTCGACAGAAGTGACTTGGGACTTAATATAGTTCTGAGCGATGACAAAGTCACGTGATTCCCAAGTGTCTTCAAAATGGACATTGGATCATGTGAAATGGCGGTGAACCTGGCCTTCGGTATGGAATGCTCCGCTAATATCAAGGCTCTTGAATTGATAGCGGCTCAACATGCGTTAAATAATGTGGAAGATCTCTACAAGAAAGTGGTTCTAAACAAATAGTCATCCTTACGATCTCCGTTTTCATGGGCAGTTAAAGCCGCTACAAATAATGGGTGCACTAATATGTAAACATGCATTCGATGATCGAAAAGAACTGAGTTGGCTTAAGCTCTCAAACTCGAAAGTTCAGGCTCTTAGCGGAGAACAATAGAATAGTAGAACACTGGCTACATGGCCGCCGAGTTCAAATACTTGCATAACAGTTTTTGTAGAAGAACTCCATTGCAAGTGTAAAACATAACTGGGGACCCCTGCCTTGAGAGCAAAGACAATTTAACGGACAACTCCTTGAAATCATCTATTAGGTTTCGCCAGAAAATCAGCATAGCTAAAATAAATGTAGGGTCAGTTCGCGGGAAACCCTTTCCTGGTCCTCACAATAGATCTCTACGTCCTCCGAGTGAACTCTAAAGCTAGAGTTGCTCGTCTAAGCTAACCTAACCTACCGGGGCACAAACAAGTATTCTCTTTTTCTTCTTATACGAGTACACACATGCTGAGCAAGTAAAATCTACACTAACAAACCGTTACATTCATTACTAAAATTCCAATTTCGTGATTAAATAAACTATATATAAACATACTCTTCTTCATTACAGTTAGCCATCGGACAATCGGGACAAGTGCGCTTAGCCGATCCGATCACGTGGCGTTCACTTGTTTGCTCATACACCCTACAGGGTGGCCATTACTCAATTCCCACTACGCCACTCTATCCGTGGGACAAGTGGGAGGACACTTTTGCGCGAAAAACCAGGCGTTTACATGATAATCCACCTGGATTTGGTAATTTCAGTTATGAGACAGACGATTCACGCCTGTTTGTATACACTGTGCTGGAAACTTTAATGAGTCAGCGTGGATTAAACGGTCATCAGTGTTTGTTGCGTTCCATATGCCAAAATGCGCAAGTAGATCAACATGTGGGCGTATTGTCGGAGGTGTTGGATGTGGTGTTGACGTAAGTATTCTTTATGCTTGATTATATTATTTAAGTAATTTACTAATGTGCACCACTTTTTCTCCTTCAATAGGCCCGGGCTAGAGGATTTGGATGAAAGCTATCGCATGGCGCGCGAAGCCGGTGCTGGTGGTGCAGATTGTTTGAAACTCTATGCCAAATGCCCGGAAGGCGTCAGTTTATTCGATAGCTATTTAGATTATATCTGACATAGTAGCAAGTCGGCAAGCTGTGGGCCTCTCCGACGTAAATCAAAATATTGTGAATGTATTTCAATATGCTCATAAATATGCATGCTTTTACAAATGAGAAACAAAGCAACAAATGTAAATATAAGAAAAAGATGTTGAAGCGCAAAATATGTTGTCAATCAGCTAATCAAGCGGAAGTGTTCGTGCGTCCATTCAAAATATTTTCATTTCCGCAAAAACATTAACATTTCCACTCATACAGCAACTCCGACACCGACAGCGAATACACTCACACGCGCACCCATTCCAAGGGTTGATGTGCCATTATCGTAGCTTCCTCCTTAGGCATGCTTGGGGTGTTGCATGTTTTTGTTTTGCTTTCGTACAAAACTTTACCTGCAGGCAGGCGCATTCCTTTGTTTCCAATATGCCGGTGTTCGTTGGTTGATGGCTGCTTAGCTGACTGGCTGCCTGCACGCAAAGCAGTAAGTAAATCACTCTGAAATCTACTTTAATATTATGCTGCAAGCGTGAAAGCGCGGTGGCAACACCCAGTTCGACATGCTATTCAACTGCGATGAATTTAGTTGTCAGAAATCATTTGGTATTCAAGTTGCATGCAACACGAGGCTATGTTGCGCGGTTACTCTCAGTAAAAGTATGGAGCGTAGACTAGTCAGCACTTCAGTATATACACATATGTTTGAGTTCATGTTGCTGTGTCTTCTGTTGAGTCAATCAGTTGTCAAGCATACATCACTTATACATACATATGTACATACATATTCACTCTTCAACCATCTAACAAAAATCAAGTAAATAAAGCACGGCGTTGGACGAAGTCAAGTGATGAGTACCGATTGAAATGGGTTGGGCGTGGATATTGAGTGATTTTAAGCTTGGGCACGTACAGTAGAGTAGCGGCAAAGTACCTATGTACATATACGGTATGACGATAGTCACAGAAACATCTTTGTAAGCAATCATCATTAGCTCATCAGGCACAGCGAAGGCATCATTATTATCGACATATCGATGTCAGTAAAAGAACTTTTGTGTAAAGAGGCAGTGAACAAGATTACCCATGAGACAAGGCAAAAGAAAACTTTTTGTTTGGAACTCAAAATGTTGAAGGTTATTGCTGGGCTTATTTAGATAAAAGTTATTCTGATAGACCAGATTTGGTGGTTAATTTATATAGATAAATATTTTCTATGATCTCCATACTGTGTAGACTATCTAAAGAAGTGGTCGGCAAGCCATAGCTCTGTGTGTTGCACACAGTGTGACAAGGTCCCGCAAAAAAAAGAAATGCTAAAACCCTTTTTGAAAAATTCCAGAAAATGCTAAACAATAATTTTAAAGGGCAATAAAATGTCAAGTATTTATTTCATATTATTTCAACCATTTTCACAGATTATTGTAACATTTTTTATCTTTATGCATATATACATATTTGCGTACTGCATATCAACGTCAGTATTTTAAGTAAAAAATACTCTTAAATATATGCCTTTATATGTACTTATTACAGATTGATATCAATATCGACTATGTCGTCCTTATATAGTAATCCTTACTTTAGTAAAATATCATTACCATACATTTGGTTATCACATTTTTAAAGAGATCATTTGGTAATTCAAAATCTTCGCAACATATCGAATACAAAGTCAAAAAATTAATAGAGGAAGCTAATTTTTGCCATTGTAATGTCTCTATTCTGTGTCAATGACAAATTCTTGTCGCAGTTTTTTACGGAAAATTAAATAAAAAAGTTAAAATTTGTCAGCTACAAAAGTTTTGCCACTCATACAGAATTGGTGTAATTTCGTCGATTGCAAATTTTCGCTTCCTCTCTATAATAATAATAACATAATAACAATAATAATAATAATAATAATAATAATAGATTGGCGCTTACACATATGTTAGTGTTTGGCCGAGCTTCTCCTCCGATTTGTGGCGTGCGCCTTGATGTTGCCACACGAAGAGGAGGGACCTACAGTTTTACGCCGACTCCGAATGGCGATTGTATTTTTATGAGAGGCTGTTTTTCATGGCAGAAATACAGTCGGAGGTTTGCCATTGCCTGCCGAGGGACGACCGCTGTTAAGAAGAAACCTTTTCACTAATTTTTTTTGCGATGTTGCTTTGACCAAGGCTTGAACCCAGGCGCTGCGAAGTGGAAGCGCACACTGCTTACCACTACACCACAGCGGCCTCCTCATAAAGCAATCAAATAACTTAGGTGCTTTTAGTGAAAAGGATGATGCCATACACTGAGAAAAGAGTTTAGTCAACTAAATATGTTCCTCCCAACAAATGATTTGGTAATAGTTACATTAATCGGTTACAATAAATACATTTTTGAGAGAAATATATGTATTAAGCTGAGTCTTTTCTCAGTGTAGTGAAATCCATCGTGTATGTACATTGTACAACATATATGTACACAGGGCCGGCGGAAGACGTGGGTATGGTGGGTACTACCCACTTGAAATTTTTAAAGGTGGGTAATTTCTTAGAAGAAAAATAAGTCCAATTGAAAGAGTATTTCGGAAGATAGGTATATTATCAATTTTTGGACAGGTTATCTGCTCCCTGACAAGTAAATTTGATACTGGGTCCGCAACGTTTTATAAAACTTTAGAAAAGTTCATTCTTGGTGAGACAGTAGATTTGAGGAGAATGTCACATTTTATAATGGTGATTTTGATGAATGCCGACTCAATATCGATAAAGATATATGTATCTCTGTACATAATGAGTCGCACAGAGCAAAATCCAGGATCTGTGAAAGATGTTGTGCAATTTTTGTGTGAAAACGAATTATGTGTGGAACTTGTTTCTGAATATGTACGCTTCATTAGATTAGATTCCAGGGTCGTCATGCTCTAACAAGAGGAGCTTTACTGTTTTGCGTAGGTTGAAAAATTATTTGAGCTCGACAATGCACCAAAAATGGCTCAGCCATGAGGCAATATTGCATTCTTATCCATGAACTCATGAACGACTTCATTTCTCATGAGCGACTTCAAACCGAATGGCCGTGTTTTTACTGCAGAAATACAATTTTTTTCCAAATTTGATTAAATGATAATTTCCATGAAATATATACATACATACATATGTACATTAGACTGCATCACTCCCCATACAAAAAAAAGCGGTACTGTGTTATAAAATCAATTATATTTGAAGACGTCCACCAAAATATTTCTCTAAAATATTAAGATTTACGTGAGCTAGACCGATTTGAAAATACTTTCAAAAATGGAGTTTTTTTTATTAAAAATTAGCATAAAAATACTTCTAAAAAATTAAACAAAAAAATGTTAACGGAATTGTAATAATGGTACAAGAAAAACTTGAATAACGGAACCTATACTCTTCCGATTTAGAGTTGTGAGGTATCAGTGGAAAGGTATTTTATCACCCTTTTTAGTTCTTTAATAATAAACTCATTCAAAGGATGAAAGAGAAAGGTAGGAAGAACGAACGTCGTTCAAAGTTGAATTAGGATGTGTTGGTATTTGAAAAAAAAAAAATTGGGCCACGAATGACTTTTTTTGCACAGAAATAAGAAAAATACACAGAAATAAAAAGATCTTATAAGTCTAAATCAGAATAGTTTTGGCCCAGTTATTGAAGTTTTTCGTAGTCCAAGCTTTGAAATAAGTAAAAAACAGCATCAAAAATCTCATTATTAAGATTCCGTTGAAAAGATTTTTAAATATTTTTACGCAGATTTTTCAAGCTTAATCTGTTTTGTCTTCTGAGGGGCCTTTTTCAAAATGTTCCTTAAGAAATTTTTTTTATTTAAAAAAAACTCAATTTTTGGAGGTATTTTCAAATCAATCCAGCTCAAGTAAATCTTAATACTTTTCCGAAATATTTTGGTGGACGTCTTAAAATATAATAAATTTTTTAATCGGAAAATCCGCATCTTTTTGTGGCGATACAGTCTAATGAACATAGTATGTATGAAAAATAAAGGTATTATACACGAAACAATAAAATTCTGAGATAGGGTGTTTTATAATAAAATTCTGAAAATAGGGCGCTCTTGAAAAGTTTTCTGAGAGAAAGCGTTTTCGAACTAGCTGCCGAGATAGGTCGATCTGACATTTAGTCAGTAACCGTGGTTGATTGTTGGAATCTTTTTCAAAGTTAGCTAATAGTTCCTCCAATTACTATATCCCTACGTCACGTGAAGCAGGTGAACCCATATGCATTTCTGACTTCTGTTCATAAATCTTGTCATTGCATTTGCATTTATAAATAAGACTTAGCAGAGTGTAAATTTTTTTACGAGATATTTTTATTCCCAATAAGTGAGTCGTTTTGAATTTTTTTAAAGCCTTTTAAAAGCCAAGTGTTTGCTTAACAGCCATTTTGAAAATTCCTGTGCACTTGTATCGGAAGAATCTCCTAGGCCTGCCTCTGAGACTTGCAATCGATATTAGCTCGATAATTTGGTTATTCAGCTCTGACAAATACATAAACTTATTGAGAACTCATATACAGGGGTAGGCAATCGAAGTTTACCAATTATATAATTTTATCTATTTTGCTTTTTTTATTAAAAAAAAAAAAATAATTTTAGGAAAAGTATATTACTGTTCGAAGTAGTCAACTTTAGCGCGGATGCATTGAACAGGTCGTAAAGGTAAATAAAAAAATCTACCATGGAAAGGTTTTAAACGTTGCTCTATTACCTTGAGTACGAAAACAATTCGGTAGAAATCATTGCACGTTTCAATAAGACTTGGCACCATTGCGCAAAGTTTGCAAAATCTAGAGTTTTTTAGAAAAACAATTCCCAGCTTGATTTCTTCACAAAACCATATTCACCGGACTGAAACCCAATGGATTTTACCATATGATCCAATCTCGAGGCCAAGGTATCAACATAAAAATATGAGAAATTCAACTACTTGAAGATTGCTCTTCGCTGCCATTGGGACAAGGCCACATTCGTGCAGCCGGATGGACTCCATACCATTATCTACAAA